TACCAAATCAAAGAGAACCAGCTGTCGGATTCGACCGCACGTGCTCAGGCGACACCCATAGCACACCAGCCAAGGTGATTGAGCGTGAGACCCCGCAAAACGAGCAAAGCCCTGGTCGCAGAATGGGCTGGTACCAGGCGTGTGTTTCGGAGGCATGCTGGCCAGGCCAGAGTAGATCTGGACCGAAGGTCGCACCGAATCGACAATGTATCGGCGACGTCGGGATTGAGAAAATCAGGCTCTGGATCCCGTCGCATCGACGATGCATCGGCGACGCATCGGTGATGCATCGGCGATGCGGCGATCCTCCGGACCCAACTACTCCGACTCCGATGAGGCGGCCTGGGGGACCACGACGACTACGGCGACGGAGACGACAAAAGCAACGACAATTAAGGCGACGAAAACGACAGAACGAAAACGACAAAACGACGACGTCGATGACGAAAATGATGACAACGACGACGACGACGACGACGACGACGACGACGACGACGACGACGTCGAAACGACGACGACGACGACGACGACGACGACGACGACGACGACGACGACGAAAACGACGAGAACTGCGACGACGGCGGGAGGGGGAGGCGAGGAGCGGCCAGCGCAGGCGGATAGCGCCCAGGGAGTGCAGCTCGGGGCCGCGCGAGCGCAGCTCCGCCTCTGCGGGCGCCGCGGGCGCTCGACGCAGCGCGCGCCGCGCCTCCTCGTCGCTTCCTCGTGACCTCCCACTCGTCCTTCTTCTCCTCGTGCTCCTCCTCCTGCTCCTCCCCCTCCTCCTCCTCCTCCTCCTCCTCCTCCTCCTCCTCCCCCTCCTCCTCCTCCTCCTCCTCCTCCTGCTCCTCCTCCTCCTCCAACTCCCCTCCTCCTCTCTCATGGAGGGGGGGGGAGAACGTGGAGGAATAAAAAACGCCATAAACATGAACTGTTGGCGCTCCGCACGGGTTTCTTGGATCTGCGCCGGGCCCCCCCAGCGGCGCCTCTGGCGCCGCCCCTGGCGCGCTCCGCGCGTGGGGTCCAGGGCAGATCCAAGAAACCCGCGCGGAGCGCCAACAGTCTATGTTTATGGCGTGTTTTCTTTTCTGTGAACGGGGCGCATAGAGACGTGCTATAGTATTATAGGTCCTCCTCGGAGGCGCGCGCCTGACCCGAACACACAGTAGAACCATCTTGTAATACATGCGCGACTTCGGAAACCCTGAGCCCCAAAACGTTCCCATCTCTTGGGGGCGCAGCTTTTGCTTCCGCCGCCCTTCCGTCGCCCTTCCGCCGGCTTCCGCCAGCGGAGGCGGCCTCGGTTTACTTCCGCCGACCTTCCGCCGCCCTTCCGCCGCGGAAGAGATGACAGCTCCCTCTATCCTCGAAGGCAAGGCCCTTTTTGGAACGCAGCCATCTCATGATATATCGTTTCCCGAGCGGTGTGGCCAGAAAAGAGTTCTCGGTGCGCGCGTCCCCTCTGAGGGGGGCGACGCACACATAGTATCAGTATGTTGGGGTGACGCCGCGGAGATGAGAAAAAACACCATAAACGTACAACGATCGTTGCGATACATCTTGGGGGGACCTTGTCTGTCCCGTCGCGCCGCGATTCGCATCGAATCCGTGTCGAAGCCGTGTCGGATCCGTGTGGAAGCCGCGTCAGATACGCGCCGAACCCACGCTGTAGCACACGACGAGACCATTCACAGGAACGAGCAGGCCCCACGAGAATGCAACGTGACGGTCGAGCTGCAATGAGGAACACCGAGTCGAGAACGAAGGGGGCTCTTCTGGCCACGGCGATGCTCGGACACGAGCACCAGGTCGGGCGTGTCCCCCTACAGGCGGATTTCGGACGAAACATTTAGAAACATTTAGAAAACACCATCGAAATATCCAAAAATGATTCAAACATGCTCAGAACATCGTCCCCCGACTATTTAGGGGCTTTTTTTGAGCATGCCTCCCGTAGGGGGACGCGCCCGACTTAACATGAGCAGCCCCCCCCCCCGCGACCCAGATCAGAGGTGAAGGACCCGAAAGCCACAGTCCCTCCTGAGCCGACCAGTGGCCCTCATACTTCAGCGCGCATGCCCTCACAGCCGAAGAGCATGGGCGGAAGGGGGGGGGAGGAGGGGGTCTGGCTCTGGACCTCTGCTTAGTGCGACTGTTTGCAGCAGTGCGCCCATCATGGGGAGGGACTCCACCTGCTCGAAAGAGGCGCCAAAAACAGCCAGGATCCACTCCAGGGGGGGAAAGGGGGGGTGCGAGAGCCCGCGCCGATCGGCAAAAGAATTAGTCCGCCGGCCCCCTTGTGGAGCCACCAGGCTGTAGGGCTAAGCTTCGCAGTTTCCTGTGCCAGTTGCACCTTCCAGTTTCCACTGTTACAGTTCTGCTTCTTGCTGCTTGCTGTTCCTTGTTGACTTCTTGCTGCTTACTGTTCCTTGTTGATGGACCGCGCGAGGGGGGGGAGGTCCAAAACTGGAATTTATACCACGCCCAAAAAGAGTCCTCAGAATTTCTGGGGGGGTAAAAATTGGCACCCCTCACGCAGATCGGCGGGGTCAGGGTCCAAAAACACAAACGATTTGCCACATTTCTGGCATTCGGTGGGATTTGCCACCCCTCACGCAGATCGGCGAGATCAGGGTCCAAAAACAAATGGAATTTGCCACATTTCTAAAATTCGGTGGCACCCCTTAGGCAGATCGGCGGGGTCAGGGTCCAAAAACACACGGGATTTGCCACATTTCTACAATTCGGTGGCACCCCTCGCAGATCGGCGGGGTCAGGATCCAAAAACTTATGGGATTTGCCGCATTTCTGAAATTTGCTGGCGCCCCTCAAGCAGATCGGCGGGGTCAGGGTCCAAACACACAAAGGATTTGCCATATTTCTACAATTCGGTGGCACCCCTCGCGCAGATCGTTGGGGTCAGGGTGCAAAAAATATTGAGGATTTGCCACATTTCTAATATTCGGTGGCACCCCTCACGCAGATCGGCGGGGTCAGGGTCCAACACACACGGGATTTGCCACATTTCTGAGATTCGGCGGCACCCCTCACGCAGATCGGCGGGGTCAGGGTCCAAACGCACAAACGATTTGCCACATTTCTGGAATTCGGCGGCACCCCATCGCGCAGATCGGCGGAGTCAGGGTCCAAAAACACAGGGGATTTGCCACATTTCTGAAATTCGGCGGCACCCCTCACGCAGACCCGTAGGGTCAGGGTCCAAAAACACAGGAGATTAGCCACATTTCTGAAGTTCGGCGGCACCTCTCACGCAGATCCGTAGGGTCAGGGTCGAAAAACAAGCAGGTCCCGACACTGCTTCACGGCGGCGCCCAGACCTCATGATTTAGCTTTTGCATCTCCCATTATCCGAGACAGGGGGCCGGCGGCATGGGGCGAAGCCCTTACGGATAAAAAAAAACGAGAACGCGGGTCGAGAGCATGGGCGCCTCCAGCCAAGGGAACAAGGCACCACGGAGATGCCCCAACACAAAGGGCATTCCAAGGCGCAGGACCCAAGCACGAAGACAGGAACACGAGAATACCCCTCCAAAGCTAACCTTGCTCTTACTCCCCGTGCCAGCCGTAACCGTCCGGAGGTCCGCGCTGCCAGCCGTAACCGTCCGGAGGTCCGCGCTGGAGGCTGGGGGCCCAGGGCCCGATCCAAGAAATTCGCACGAGCCTCCCAAAGCTTGTGCTTATTATATTGTTTCTTGTTCGAACCTTTCTTGTCTTTCTTGTTTTCTCTCTCTCTCTCTCTCACTCTCTCTCTCTCTCTCTTTCGGTGGCGGGCACAACCTCATGACTCATGACTCCTGGCGCTGCCCGCGAAAACACATCTTCAATGTTACGATGAAGGACGGTGGAACTCTGCAGAGATCGCTGCCTTGCGCTTACCCCTCTCCCTTGTCCAGCCTTGCCCCCCCTCCCTGCACCTCCCCATATTCCCCCTCCCGTCGTCCTCCTCCAACTCCAGCGTCGGTCGCCTTCGATCTGCTGCGCGCCTTCCGTGGTCTGTCCCGAGACGGTGCTGCGACCCAGATGCTTCGTCTGCTCCTGCCTCTCGTGCTGCCTCTGGCTCCTCCTCCCGCCTCGGCCTGCTTCTGCTCGAGCTCTTTCTCCTGCTCCTGCCTGTTATTGCCACCCTCCGCGGACGGTGTGCCGCACGCCTGCCAGCTCCACTGACCTGCTTGGTCAGATGCAGGCACATGCCGATCGCAACTTCTGCGAAAAATGCCCGCTCGAGCGTCGGGACAGCTATTCGGGTACGCCCTCCCGTGTTGAGAGAGCGGCCCCTGCCTCCGAGCCGGGCGGAGTGCAATATCGAGTGACTTTTGGATTGATCATTGCACGCCTCAAGAAAAAAGGACGGGTGCATGGCAGAGAAGATCGGGTAGATACACGAGCGCCTGGAAGGCCGACTAGACAATGCCGCTGCGCGGCGCGAAGCACGCTGGCTGGCAGGGGCACCAAGCGCCACGAAAACGCGCCTGGGCGGCGGGCGGCAACCAAAAACACACCGCCTCGCCGCCCTCCCTTCTACGCCCCCCTGGGATCCTTCAGCTCAGCGATCTGGCCCTTGAGCGTCTCCATGGCGACGGGGGAGGCGAGGATTAGTGAACTGGTGGACTTGGGGATGCCAGGACACCGAAAGCCATCAGTTCAGCCATCCTCGCCTCCCCAGTCGCCACGGAGACGCTCAGGGGCCAGATCGCTGAGCTGAAGGATCCCAGGGTGCGTGCCCTCCTCTGCCTCCCGTACCCCCGCCCCCCACACTCGACCCCCCCTCGGCTTGGCAACACTCCTCCTCATCCTCCTCCTCCTCCTCCTCCTTCCTCCTCCTCCTCCTCCTCCTCCTCCTCCTCCTCCTATTCAGACGCCCCTGCTCCCTCCTCCTCCTCCTCCTCCTTCCTTCCTCCTCCTCTCTCCTCCTCCTGCCCTCCTGCTCCTGCTCCTCTGCGCTCCTCCTCCTCCTCCTCCTCCTCCTCCTCCTCCTCCTCCTCCTGCTCCTGCTCCTCCTCCTCCTCCCACGGGTATCGCGCCAGCGGCGCGCCCAGGCCGCTCACCGTGGGCGGGATCGGAAGTTGGCGCGGCGCATGCTCTGCGCCTTGATCGCCTTCACGCCCACCTTGTGGACAACCAATGAGGAGAGTCGTGCTGGGAGGACGGGGTTGGGAGGATGAAGGGCATGAGCAATAGCATCCAGTAATCGCCTTCCTGAACCAAGGGTGTAAGCTTACCTCCGCAGGTCAGACTTCTGGAGCGCCGGCTGAGGCTCGGAACCCGGAGGAGGTCTGAAGCCAGGTGACCCCCCCTGGGGATGTGCGATGCCGCCCCAGCGCCCAGTAGACCCGCAGGGGCACCGGTGCACTCGAAAGAAGCGCCCATCGAGGAAATTCACGAGACGGAAAGACGTCGCCCCCCGCGGTCCTGATTTTCGATGTTCTCATTCACACGCGCCCGTGGCCCGCAACAGCGGGCAGTTTGTTCGAACATATTTGCGCGCGCCTAGATCGAAGACCCCGAGCCTTGGAACTGGGGCCCGAGGCTCTGTTCCGCCGAGAAGGCCTCGCACAAGGATGAGCGCTTTCTGGAGGCCAACAAGCCGCAAAAGCACAAGCTGTCGGAGATGCGCGCGGGTGTCTTGAATCGGCGCTGGACCTCCCAGGCGGCGCCTCCAGCGCCGCACTTGGCGTGCTCCGCGCGCCAGGGAGGGGGGGCCCTGGCGCCGATCCAAGAAATGCGCGCGGACCTCCGACAGCTGCAGCTTGTTTTGCATTTCCCAATAGGTTCTTCGCAAGCGACTCGGCGGCGCGCCCAGAGGGAAGGCAGAGAGGGCGAGACACCTCAGAAGGCTCAGAATGCCAAGGGCTTTCTGAGAAGCTGCCGGAGCCAACTCCGAAGCCACAGAAGGCTTCTCGGTAGCCGCAGAGGGCTTCTGAGAAGCCCCGCCGCCTTCTGGGAAGGCCAGCCTCTTTTGAGGGGCAACGTTCGGTGGAGACTGGCTCAGGCGGAGGAGGAGGAGGAGGAGGAGGAGGAGGAGGAGGAGGGAGGAGGATGAGGAGGAGGAGGAGGAGGAGGAGAGGAGGGGAAGGGGAAGGGGCGAGCATCAACCTGGAATCGGCGAGGCATCGCCCAAAGATCGGCGGTGGGCCCCCGGTGGGGAAAAAACCGCACGTTCCTGGACGGGGTGGGCTGCCGGGCCCCTCTCGGCAGTGCATGAGCGATTGGGGGTCGATGCATCCCCCCCTGAGCCTACTCCTCCTCCTCCTCCTCCTCCTACTCCTCCTCTCCCCTCTCTCCTTCCTCCTCCCCCCTCCTCCTCCTCCTTCTCCTCCCTCGATCCTCGTCGTCCGGTCTTCGGGTCCAAACTCTGGTCTCCGGTGGCCGTTCGGGACGACCCAGGCACACCCGGCACGCCCTCAGCGAGGCGCGGCTGCCAGAAGGCATCCCGAGGACGGGACACCGCCAGGAACCCCCGAAACAGCCCGAACACCTCGACCCTCGAGCACCCCGAGCTTCTGTTCCTCTTCTTCCTCCTCCTCCTCCTCCTCCTCCTCCTCCTCCTCCTCCTCCTCCTCCTCCTCCTCCTCCTCCTACGCCCTCGAGCCTCGAGCCTCGAGCCTCGAGCCTCGCAGGCTCCCCCCCTCTAACGCTGCCCCTGTGACTCTTCTGCCTTCTGTTGCATCCTCAAGGGGGCCTTGTCTGTCCCGTCGCGGCCCTATCCGCGTCGAATTCGTTTCGAATCCATGTCGGGCTCGTCGGATCCGTGCCGAATCCGCGTCGAATCCACGCCAGGGCCCGCGTCGGGCACAAGAAAAGACACCAGTTTGGGGGACAGGCGAGGCACCCCGAAGATGCCGCGTAATTCTGCCCTCCCCCCCGGGGGCGGGCCGCGGAGCCCCGGCTGGGCTCGCACGTGGGGGGGGCGGGGGCCAAAAGGCCCCGATGCGGCCACTCCCCGACCCCCTCGCGCTGTAGAAACAAATCACGACGGGGAGCCAGTACAATTGCGGAAGGGATGTAATAGGGAAGTGAGCGGACTTCACACACAGGAGCAGAGGAGGAGGAGGAGGAGGAGGAGGAGAAGGAGGAGGAGCAGGAGGAGGACGAGGACCCCAGACCTCCTCGCGCTGTAAGAAAAATCACGACGGGGAGGTCCCTCGCTAGTTTCGGCCTCCGGGGGCCCTTGCTGGGCCCCAGGGCCGGCAGGAAACGCCTCGGGACGCAAAACCGGTCCCGGGGAAGGGGTCCAGACCTCTGGGGGTGGTCGAGGCTGTGAAGAAATCACGCTGTCGGGGTCTGGGTCCGAAGCCCCCTCGGTGGCCCATGGGGCACCCCGTGCAGCCGAGCTGCCTCTCGACCGAGAGCGGCGAGAGCGGTGGCAAGGCACCAGAGCCAGCTGAGCGACGCGGAACAGCGGGTTCGAATGCGCCGACGTTGGCGCGCAAGGTGCTCGCGCAAGGTCGCGCGTAAGGGGTCCAGAGCTATGGGGGTCGACGCTTCGAAAAGGTCACGTCGGGGATCTGGGCTCCCGCCGGACCTCTCCCGGGGTGCGCTCTGAGCAGAAACTTCGAGGCCAATCCAGCGATGGCGACGAGGGCCTCACAGGAGGCCCAGACGAAAGGGAAATCGGGCGGGGGGCAGCGGCAACGCTACCTGTTTTTCCTCCGCGGAGCACGCGGCCGCAGGGAGCCTTGGCGACGGCGGGGCAGTACCAGGACGGCGCGGGCCCCTCGTGCAGGACGTCGTTCACGGCGTACACCTGCGCCGCCGCGGCCTGCGCGATCAGCGGGGGGCAGGGCTGCGCCTGCGGAGGACAGCCGGAAGGTCAGCTATGCTCGCTCGGGGGACGGGGGGGGGCCGCCTGCCCTCTACCTGCGCCTTCCGCACCTTCCCTTCGCGGCAGGTGCCGGGCTGCCGCGGCCGCAGCCTGCGGGCCGCAGCGGCGGCCACCGTCGGGCCGCATCGCGGCGGCACCTTGCAGGTCGAGGGTTCTGGGGGCCTTCCTGAAGCCTGTCGTTCCACCCACGCGTCGCTGTTGCGTCGAACGTGCGTCCACTTGAACTGAACTCGGGGCGAGCTTCAGTCGGGCTGGAGTGGCGCACTGTAGCCCCTCTGGGGGACATCGCACTGACCATCGCGACCTCCGAAAACTACCATTTGGCAGCACCTAGTGGCCACTAGCGGCCGCTAGTGGCCACTAGCGCGTACGACTAGCGGCCACTAGCGGCCATTTAGTGGGCAGTTAGCGGCCAGGCCACTGGCGACCACTAGCGGCCATTTAGCGGCCACTAGCGGCCACTAAGAGTCATTTAGCAGCAATTTAGCGGCCATTCAGTGGCCATTAGCAGCCTGTCGCGGCCAATAGCGGCCGTGTAGCCGCACTTAGTGGCTACTTGCGGCCACCAGCGGCCATTTAGCGGCACTTAGTGGCCACTAGTGACCTGTAGCGGCCACTAGCGACCATTTAGCGGCACCTAGTGGCAACTAGCGGCCTGTAGTGGCCACTGGCGGCCATTAGCGGTCATTAGCGGCCTGGCGCGTGAGTGAGACCGCCGACCCCATCGGAGCCACAAGCGCGCGTGCCGCTAAGTGCCGCTAAGCGCCGTTAAGCGCCGTTGTCCCAGAAAAAAACAAAATTCGAATTCCGGTTTACAATTCCCCACGTTGGCCACACTACAGATCAGTTGAGTGGGCGTCAAGAACAAGAGCGGAGGTCCGCGCACATTTCTTGGACCGGCGCTGGACCCCCCATGCTGCGCTTGCGGCGCCGACCGTGGAACGATCCGCGCGCCAGGGAGATGGTCATGGCACAGCGCCGATCAGAGAAACACCCGCGCAGGCGAGCAAAGACAACGGCAGCTAAACATCGATCCCTGGACCCCTCACGCGGTCCAAACGCACCAGTGCCCCGAGCTGCTTCCAGCCGTGGCGACGAGGGGGCCCCCCGAAGGCCAGCTTTCGCTGTCTCAACTCGCCCTCCTCTGAGGTGCATGTGCCGCTTGCTCCCATTGATCCGATGTCTTGATTTTTTCTGTACGGGGTCCCGAGAAGTCTCGAGCCCTTCCCCAGGACTGGATGTTCATCCTGAGTCGCTTTTTGTGGCGATCCCGGGGCCCGGGAAGGGCCCCGAGGGGCGCCAGATGGACAAGAGCACTGCCACGAGATTCCCAATGCGAGAAAGGTCCGGGCCCTCCTCCCGGACGGTCCCGGGGACCTCGCGAGGGCCCCCGGAAGGGAGGAGGAGGAGGAGGAGGAGGAGGAGAAGCGGTGAGGAGGAGGAGGAGGAGGAGGAGGCGGAGGAGGAGGAGGAGTGAGAAGCGGGGAGGAGAAGCGGGGAGGGGAGGAGGAGCGGGGAGGGGAGGAGGAGCGAGGAGGAGGGCTAGACTCGCCCCACGGGGACAGCAAGACTCCGCCCTGCCTTCTTCGATCTACGCTGGAGGTCTGGGCGCTTCTCCGGGCCTCTGCCGCGCCCGCCCTCGCGCCCGCGGCGTCCACGTCGCCCGGCAGCGCCCCGGCCAGCAGCTGCTCCACCTCTTTCGATGATGGGCCTGTTTTCCACCACCACCACCATAAGTTGGAGGGGGGAAGGAGGTGGAGGACGAGGATGAGGAGGAGGAGGAGGAGGAGGAGGAGGAGGAGAAAGAGGAGGAGGTGGAGGAAGAGGAGAAGGAGGACCCTCTCCGCCTCCAACTTATGGTGGTGGTGGTGGAAAAAAACATCATTCGATGATGGGCCGACCGTCTCGGCATTGCAATAAGCTTACCATAACCCCTGACCCCCTCGCGTTGTAAAAAACAAAAGAAAACGACGGGCAATTATCTGCAATTTTCGGCCTCCAGGGGCCCTTCCCAGGCCTCGGGACCGTCAAAAAATTGCCCGGGATGACAAACCGGTTCTGGCAAAGGGGTCCAAACCTCTGGGGGTCGACGTTGTGAAAAAAACACTCCGACGTCGGGGGTCTAAGCTACAGGCTTACCGCGACATGCTTTCCGAACACACGAGTGGGAAGGGAAGCAGTGCTCTTAGAACGTAGAGCCGATGTCGGGTCCCTGACATGCTGGCGATGCCATTTGTTCATATCCGGCGTTCTCGCTCAATTTCGCACCCCCAGACCCTCACAGATCGATCTGGCTCGAAGAATGGCGCAGAAAGATAGGGCCTAGGACTCCAGGCGTGATTGTTCTCACGATGTTGCATGTTTTTCGCTACGTCGGATCTCAGGGAAGGAAAGCAGCGCCCTTAGAACGTAGAGCCGATGTCGTGACACGGAGCTGTCGTGAACGTCAGCCGGAGGTGTTCCAAGAACATGCCGCAGATACCACACCAAGTTCTGACAAGGTTATCTGGTGGGCCTCTAATCATATACCGGCGGCGAGCGAGGGGGGAAGGGAGAAGGAGAAGGCCTCCGCAGAAGCCGGCGGGGCTCCTCAGAGGCCCTCGCGCGTGGCGCGTCTTCGGGGAAGTCTGAGACAGCTTCGCACAAGGCCAGAGGACTTCCGAGCCCTCTGAGAAGGCCCGCCCCCTCTCACTTCCCCCCTTGGGCTGGCCGCCGACTCTCTCGCCGCCGCGCGGGCGCCCATTCCCCGTGCATTGTTCGACTTCGTGCGCACGTCTGTCTTCGCAGGAGGGTCCGATCTGCTCCTCGATGGCCCAAGCCGAGAAACAGTGCACACGCCCGAATGCCAACCCTGAGATCCGACGTAGCGAACCAAAGTGCAACATCGTGAAAAAGCACGCCCGGAGCCCCAGACCCCATCTTTCTTTGTCGAGCCGGATCGGGCTGTGAGGGCGAACAAACAAAAACCCGGCTCGAAAACATTAAGACGCAAGCCCAGACCCCCGACGTCGAAATTATTGAATCGCTTCGCTCATTCCGCCGGCCCGTGATATGGCATCGCTGGTTTTTGTCTGTGTGTTCGTTGCCCATGTTGCGCTCTTGGGGGCGGGTGTCGTTCGGACGCGTTGCGTGGGGAGTTTTGATGGTGAAGCAGTTCCCTGGGGGTAGTCTCTCGATGGGGCGAAATAGAGTCGTCGTCAAGATGCTTCTTTGGGGGGCCTCTTGGGGTCTGTTGAGAGGCCGTTCGGGGGCGCCTGGGAGACATGTTTGAAGCCTTCTGGGGCTTCTTTTGGGCATCCTGGGAGTCTCCTGGGGACCTCCTGGGCGCCTTCTGGACGGAGGGCTCCATTTTTGAGTTCTCGGTATCCCTCCTGAGTCCCTCTTGGGCCCGTCTTGGGGCCTCTTGGTCCGTCTTGGGCGGCACTTGGGCCGTCTTGAGGGCTCTCTTGGGTCGTTTCGGCGCCGTCTTGGCAGCGTCGTGGGCCGTCTTGGAGCGGTCTTGGGGGCCTCTTGGGCCGTCTTGGAGCGTCCGGAAGCCGAAAAAGCCAGAACACAAAAAACATCGAAAAAACAATGAAAATCAACGATTTTGGCCTCTTGGGGCTCTCTTCGGAGGCCTCTTGGAAGGCTCTTGGGGCGTCTTGGAGGCCTCTTGGGCTGTCTTGGGGCCTTTTGGGCCGTCTTGGGGTCATCTTCGGCGTCTTCGAGCGCTCTTTGGGCGTCTCGGGGGCCTCTTGGGCAGTCTTGGGGGCCTCTTGGGGCACTCTGAGCGCGCTCTGGGGAGCCTGAGAGGCCGCACCCAGAAGGAAAACAATCTCTGAGTAGACTTGGTCGGGCGGCGGTCGGGCGGCGGTCGGGCGGCGGTCGGGCGGCGACCGGGCGGCGACCGGGCGTTGGTCGGGGTACTTTTCGCCGGGGGACCCCCAGGGGCCGCCCCGCGCGCGCGAACTAGAAATACTGTTAATACTGTTAACCAGTTACCGGAGATCTTAGCACGCCCTGGCCCGTTGGGCCGGCGAATTTCACAACGTCGACCCCCAGAGGTCTGGACCCCTTCCCCAGGACCGGCTCTTCATCCTGAGCCGGTTGTTGACGGCCCCGCGAGACCGGGAAGGGCCCCCGGAGGCCGAACATTGCAAAAACGCCTGGCTCGAAAAAATTGAGACGCCAGGATCTCAGGGAAGCTATAGGCTTAGGTCGGGCATGTCTTCCTACAGGTGGATGTTGTGGAAAAAATGAAACTTCAAACATATTGAAAAATCGTCAAAGACGGTCGAAGCATCGTCCCCAGACTAATTCTTAACCATTTTCGAATACTCCTCCTATAGAGGGACATACCCGACTCAACTATACGTAGGCAGATGAGGACGCTTCGACCCGATTTTTTGACAGTCCCGGGGCCCGGTAAAGGCCCCCCCCCGAGGCCAAAAAAATGGCGAGAAACCTCGCGTCGTGATTTTTTCACAACGCGACGGGGGTGTCTTGGAGGAGCTGAGGGGAGCTGCAAGCAGGTCAGAAAACGCTCGGCTCCAAAAATTTGGCACGCAAGGATCTCAGGGAAGCTATAGGCTTGGGCTGGGCAGGTCCTCCTATAGTCGGATTTTGGAAGAATACTGAATGATTGTCAAAATATGTGCAAAAGTAGTCAAAACCAGTCGAAACATCATCCCAAGACTATGTTCTGACCATTTCTGATTCTTCCTCCTGTAGAGGGACATGCCCGACTTAACTATTGGCAGATCAGGACGCTTCGCCCTGTTTTTTTTGACGGCCCCGAGGCCCGGTAAGAGCATCGGGGGGCCCAAAACGGTGAGAAACCTCGCGTCGTGATTTCCACAACGCGAGGGGGGGTGCAGGAGAGCCCAGAGTCGAATCGATAAATCGAATCGGCGATCGGGATGAATCGGACCGGCGGCAATCGGCAGCCGAGTCGGCAAAAGCCGAACCGCCGGACATCGGCAAGCTGGTATGCCTCCTCAGTGGGAAAAATCCAGAACCCGGCTCGACATCCCGAGCCGAATCGCATCGGAACCGGAAGCCGAGCCCTGGAGCGCTGGGCAGGTCGGGGCGCTTCGCCCCCCCGGCGCGGGCCTCGCGGCTCGCGGGGCCCCCGCGCCCCACGGCGTGCACCTCGCCGCGGGCCAGCGCCTCGCTGTCGCGCTGCACCCGCTCGACGGCGTCCTGGGAGAGCCAGAAAAAAACCCACAACGGGGTTCAGAGGAGGAGGAGGAGGAGGAGGAGGAGGAGGAGGAGGAGGTCACGCAAATAAACAAACACAAATCCCAGAATCCCCCAGACCTGTGAAGCTATGAAGGAGCGCAGTGACCCCAGACCCACTCGAGATGCGAACAAATCGCGACGGGAAATTTGTCGCAGCTTTCGGCCTCCAGGGGCCCTTACCGGGCCTCGGGGCCGTCAAAAAACGGCTCAGGACGAAAAGCGGGTCCCGGGAAAGGGGTCCAGACACAAATCCCAGGGTCCCCCATGTTAATGTTTTGCCATGCTGTCGGGGTTTTCGTCTTCCCCCCCACTTCCCATATTTTCCCGTCTTTTCCTGGGAGTCGACGATCCATTGCGTCTGTGTTTCTTTCCCCCCCGAACCAGACAGGTACCGATGCCGCTGCGGTCAAGAACCTGTGCTTCTAGCGTGGCGCGGCGGCGGCTCCAGCGATCTGTGCTGGCGGATCCGGCGGTGTTCGTCGATCTCGGCCTCTGGGGGCGGTTTTCGGGTCCCAGGGCCACCAGGTACGGGACGAATGACTACCCCCAGGGAAGGGTCGGGACCTCTGGGGACGCGGATTGCAAAAATCGCGCATCGTCCGATGTGCCCTGACGACGCGCCATGCCGTGCAAGTGGATAGCGTGCGGCTCCACCCCGCAGGGCGGGAGCCTCGGGTGAGAAGCGGTACGTGGACGCTCGAGGACTGGGGCGTGGTTGTCCAGCGTGCCGCGCCGAAGCGCGGCGGCATGCTAGAACCCGCGGCCCGACGCGCTGTGCCAAAGATCCCGACCGTTCGGGGATCCTCTGACCCGGGTCAATCCAGACCCAGGTCAGTCGGGCCTTGCAGGATCCTGCAGGATCCTGCACCCAAGCCCGGGTCAGTGCGACCCTGGCCCTTCAGGAACCTGCAAGCAACGGCGCTCGGACGGACCCCCCGTTTGCATGGACCCCCGTCTCTTGAGCCCCGAACCGTGCTCCCCCCGGGCCTCTCCGGGGGTGCACTCGGGCCAGAGCTTCGAGGCTCCAGCCAGCTGCGGCGACGAGGGGCCTTCCGGAAGAAGGCCCAAGAAGAGGCGAAGACGCGGGAAGGAGGGGCAGCGGCATCGGTGATTGCCTTGCCGGTGCGGGGGCGTCTCGTGCAGGGGATACAGCCGGCCCGTATCACAAGGATGCGCGATAAGGATGCAAGGGCCTTGGACGCCCACTTCGAAGCTCTTCGAGCGGGGCGCGGCCAACGGAAGTGGCCAAGGATGGGCCGAGGAGGCAAGGATGCAAGGGTACCCTCGGGAAGCTTACGCAGGCTTACCATGCGGGCTGACTGTATCTCACCCGCCGCACCTGCAACGTCCTGGCTGCTGGCCGTGCAGGCGTCCCAGACCGCCAGCGCAGTGATCTGTTCATAGCGTCGACTACCAAAGGTCTCCACCCATTCCCTGGGACCCGTTTTTCCTCTGGGATCTTTTTCTGACAATCCCGAGGCCCGGCAAGGGCCCCCCGAGGCCGAAAACGGCCAGAGAGTCTCCCGTCCTGATTTTTCTACGACGCGATCACGCTTGGGATGCAGGCGCGCCCGCTCCACAAGAGGCGGTGGCAGCAGCTTTTCCGCCCCGGACGGTCCCGGCCGCCCCACACGAACACCGCGCGCGGGCGCCTGCCCCCGGGGACTGCCTGTGGGGCAGTGCCAAAGACTCGCCATCGCTCGGACGTTCATTCCCCATGCACGTGTCGGTTTCGTGCGTGCAGTTTGCGCAGGATGATCCAGGGTGCTCCTCGATGATCCTCGCCGAGGAAGACTGCACACGGCCGAGCGATGCCGAGCAAGGGGAGGTCACCACCAGGGGGGCCGCGCCGCTTCCGAGAAGGACGACGCGCTCCTCGCCTCGAGGCAGGGTGCCCTTCAAGAGCACCCTCCAGGGCCGTGCAAAAGCGGACCCGAGCGTCCAAAAGCATCCTTGCGCTTCGATCCTGGAGCCTCGATCTCGAGGAGGAGGGAGAGGAGCAGGAAGAGGACGACCAGTGCAAACCCAAGAGTCATCGACAATGTTGGAACGGTCCCTCCCTCCAAGCTCCCTCTTCATAGGCCCCTACAACGGTTCATTTCCACTGAGGGAACTGCCTCGTTGGAAGACGACCGTTTGAAGATACTGACAAATGCCAAAACATGGTTCTCGGGTTCCATCGCCGCGGGTCAGCCTGACTGCTGCGTCTTGGCGATCCTGAATCGTGCCAGAACGTAATTCCTAGGACTTCAGCACCGCGACGCGAATCAACCTAACTGTTGCACCCTCATAAC